TCTCTCTCCCTCTTTTTCTTTCTTTTTTTTTTTTTTTTCTTTTTCAATTTTCAGTTGATAACATTATGTAAGCTAACTGTTAGTCCCTCAATGACTTTAGTTTTAGGAACTTTACTTTTAGGCATTATATTTATAAAGGCTATATACACAAATGACCCACTGGCAATCAATCATGCGTTTTTATGAGTGTTGTCATCATGAATTTCTGAATGCAGCAATAGTTGGAGCTACGCGCTTTGGGTGCTGAGAGGGCGCGTGCATGACTAGTCAAAAAACTTACAGACTTATAAAGTGAGCGTCGAGAGATCTTCTGTGCACTGCACTTCAGGAGCAGCTCACACATTGTCTGAAACACTCAGCCTTCACTACCCACACTATTCTACACCTTATGCACTTTAAGTAGGCTACGTGTGATTGTGCATTAGATCTATGTTATGTCGGATGTATTGCTTGCAAACAATTGCATTGCGCTGCTGTAACAAATGATTTACGGTGTCGTTGCACTCAAGATATTCATAGAACTTAAGCTTGTGTTACATAATGTGCTGCTATAGAGTCAATTCAATGCATGCATATCCAAACCGAACGACATAAGTTTTAAAACTGCAATATGCGTTATTCTTATTTCTAATGTTTTGCATGACCTTCCATGACTATTTTGGAGTACATCACTGTATGTGCATGAATGAAAGCATATTTACTGCAAATGTTCGTGCATTCAGAAAAAGACATGGGCGGTCTAGAGGGTGTGGATGAAGAACTTTATTAGTAGCTACGCAATCTAGTAATGTAGCTAGCGTGCAAATCTGTCTTTACAATCGCTGCAATACATTCCCCCTGATTACTTCCTCTTTTAAGTGTTCTGCAGTTCCTCTCTTAACTGTTTTCCTGTTTTACTCTGTTTTTTGCAGTGGCTCCCTACACACTCACGTACTTCCCGATCAAAGGTTTGTATGAAAGGCTGATTCTGTAATCTTGTCACGTGAAGCGTGTCTAACCGCTCAAAAAAGTCTGGAAAAGTTTTCGTGAAGTGGTTCGGTTGAGGCAGTATTATGCAATGGAGCTGCAAACAAAAGAAGTGCAAGTTGCATGCAATATGAGCCATATGCAACTATTAAAAATGATTATATTTAAGTAATTGGTTGAATCTGCATGTAACTTTAACAAGATTTGCATATTCGCATCATTTGCATCATATTTGCATAATTTATAATAAAGCTTTCTGGCTAACAAACATGCATTCTAAGAACGTTTGGCTAACGTTCTTATTAAGTACGGAGCCCCATAAAGGGACATGGTGGTGGAAAAAAATCAGAGTGAGTGAAAAAAATTGGGGTGGGAGGAAAAAAAAATTTTCAGATTTGTTTGCGTTCTCTCGCAAAACCAGTTGAGTTCAGACAAACACTTCCTGTTTACTTTAGATTGTAGTGGTTCATACAGCTCCATAATGGAGCGGTTCATAGAGTTTTATTTTGAACTTGGACGAAATAGTGCATGCTTATCAAGGCACGGTTTTGGGACATTCTAAAACGCTTAATGTAAAACACTGAATGACTAAATTCAGTACACACCTTATTAATAAAGCATACATACAAGCAATAGCTCAGAATATGAGAGTAACCCGGTAAATTCCACTTTAAGCGTATCCCTCATAGAAAGAAAATGCTTAATTAATGGACTAAGACAGTTTATTAATAAATTAATTATACATGAAAGCAGGTAAGCCCAGAAGAACAGAAGCATTTTCCTCCCATAAAGAAAACACGGCTTAATGAAGACGGTGAAAAAAAAGACCAAATATGCTATAGAACTTATTAAAAATATATTCTGTGTACATGCAAGCAGATGAGCCCATATGAGCTGAATTGCATAAGCATTTTCTTCCCCATAGAAAACCTCGCTTAACGTGGTTTAATATAAGAAGACAGTGATATAAAAAGCCCAAATTTGATATTTTATTAAAAATATACTACAGGCAATCAACGCAGTAATCCATTTAGCCAGTGGTTCTCAAACCTTTTACAGTGGCGTACCCCCTAGGCCTAGGACATTTAGCCTAACATTCTTCTGAGTTAGACCGCAGTCACACCTTTTCCATTTGCCCCCTTAAATTGATTTACAGGTGCATTTTTACTGTTATAGAGGCAATTTTTTTTGCTTTAATTATAATATAGCTATATTTACTAACAACTAACAAAAGTTAAGGAAAGTTGCCATTTTATAATTTACCAAATATTATATGTACATTTGAATGTTTTTTGAACATTCAGAAACAAGTAAAAACATTAGTTATTAGCAAAAACTTTAGATGAACGTCCAACTAAAATGTTTCGTTCCATGTATAAATATGGTTTTATGCTAATGTTTTGAGTGTGTTATTAAAGACCAGATAACTTTGAACAAATGTTCTAGTAACGTTACTGGAAGAACGTTTGTTCATAACTTTGAGAGAACTTTCCAGAACGTTAACCAAACTTCTGAGAACATTCCTAGTTATCTTCTATTATCTCTGTTATTTTAGTAAAGCCATGCACAATAACCTCTCTGTTCAGAGAATAAAAAGTTAAATATTATTCGCTCCACTGCTAATCTTTGGCAGCCTGCATGTTCTCTCAAGCCAGCCAGCTCTTGGTTGTTCAGTCAAAATGTGACAATTGTCTGAAGGCATTTGCCCTAGATTGGGAGGAATGGCAGTGAACCTCAGCCCACACACACTGAAAAAAAAAATCCTTTGTTGGCCGTAACCTGAGTGTTTGCAGACTTGTGTCTTTAATGCATGTGAAAGCACACATAAGAGAATTGTAGAATGCTGTTGACTCTGTGTCATGTGCATCTCACAGGCAGATGTGGTGCCTTGAAGATGATTCTGGCGGACAATGAGCAGAAGTTGAAGGAGAACCTGGTGTCCAGAGAGGAGTGGATGAAGGGTGATAAGAAAGGCAGCTGTGTGAGTTACAGAATTACCATTATTTTCCCCCAGTTTTTATTATTTTTATTTATTTAAAAAACATAAACAATCTATGCATGGTTTAATTAAGTTTAAGCTGTATCCCTTCCCTTACATGTTGTTGTTTTTTTATTTGTTTTAGCTCTTTGGACAGTTGCCTATATTTGAAGATGGTGACCTGGTCCTGTATCAGTCCAATGCCATTTTAAGGCATGTGGGTCGCAAACATGGTAACAATCACCATTTTAATGCATTAGAATAAAATCAAGCATACTTAAAGTTTGTTTTGTAATGACCACCTGCTCCATGAAAACCTAATAAAGGCCCAATGTTGGGAGAAGAAGTTTTTATCATGTTTCAAGTCGATGGGACCAGATTGTTCATTCCCGTTCCAGGATGATCAACAAATTTTAAATATTAGAAGATAATAATAATTAATAATAATTTATGCATTTAGCAGACGCTTTTATCCAAAGCGACTTACAGTGCATTCAGGCTATACATTTTCTACCAGTATGTAAGATATAAGATATAAGATCCACCAACATATTCTTTTTGTCAAAATACGTTATCCCTAAAACATGTTTTATTACACTGTGCTTGGTTTAACCCCATGAAAAACCGTTTTTTCCCCCTTATTTAATAATTTGAAAGAAATGTTTCACTATTAATTAATTCAAATATTAATATACAGTATTTCTATTTTTTTTTTATTATAAAAAACTGCCATATTCTGTTCTTTTACACATTCAGGTGCATATGGAAAAAACGACTGTGAGGCTTCTCTTATTGACATGATGAACGATGCAGTTGAAGATCTTCGCCTAAAATACATCAAACTGATCTACCAGGAATATGTAAGTACTGATGTGACTGTAAATCTAGTTTGAGTTTGATAAGTAATTAATTAATTAAGTTTAGTCATATTTTATATATAAATTCATTCCGGTTTCTGTTTTTTTTCCCCCATTTAATTATTTATTCGTTTTTACTTATTTTTTAAATGAATTTTAAAAAATAGAAAATAATATAATACACTTTATACTATATATTATTTAATGTAATTATAAAATATTTATCAAACATTTCATGTTTTATATATAACAAACATTCAGACACTGGACAAAATGGTCGCCCCTTTAGAGCCATTTTAGGGCAAATGCATGGTAAACATCATGTGATATCACCCAAGACATTAGTTCATTATTTTCTATTTTTATTGTGTCCCTATCTGTAGGAGACTGGTAAGGAAGCGTACTGCAAAGATCTGCCCAACCACCTCAAACCATTTGAATCTATTCTGTCCAAAAGCAAATCTGGATTCCTAGTTGGTGATCAGGTGAGAAATCCAGCACACACACCAGAAGGGTAACAGATGTAATATAGTGCATGCTTAATTCTGACTGTCACCCATTTTTCAAATCTCCTCACAGATCTCATTTGCGGACTACAACCTGTTCGACCTTCTGCTGAATCATAAAGTCCTTTGCTCTGCCTCTCTGGACTCCTTCCCAACTCTCAAGAGCTATGTGGATAAGATTGCTGCCCGGCCCAAAATCAAAGCTCTCCTGGAGTGTGAAAACTTCAAGAAACTTCCCATCAATGGCAATGGCAAGCAGTAATTCAGTAGAACATTCTCAAACAATGGCACTTGCTGTTAAAAGGCCTTAACTGGTGCTCTGTGATTAGCAAAACATCTCAAGTCTTTGTATGAACGTCTATTTTGTATGTTTAACTGTTTTTGATAGTTTTTACTAACCGAAAGCCATGTGTCAATTATTATGAATAAAAAAAATGTAAACATCCAGAATGGTTTCAGTGCTGCTTTAAAGAACAACTTTACGCCACCTATATATAAAACATGTTTGCATTGCATTAATAAAATAACAGCTTCAGTTTTTAATCATTTTGAAGTTTAACATTTCTCTAGAGTGCCTTTATTTAAATTAGAATCTTTAGAATAAACATTTAAATTTATTATACTTATAAATAAAAATAATGTCGATATAAAATGGACTAGTGCCGAGCATTTGTTAATCTGAGTCTGATGAATAATTACTAAGTTTAAATAATTTTTATATATAAATTCATTACCATTGTTTTCTTCTTTTATTTTTTTATTTATTAATTTTCCCTATTATTTTAATTAAAATATAAAAAATATTTACACTGAAAATTTAAGATTGCAATATATATATATATTTATGTATAATTTATAATAAATTATGATCTGTATACTAATGTATAATTTAGTAGGGAAATGAATAAAAAAAGTAAATAAAAAATAAAGTAAATAATACAAATAAAAGGGAAAAACAACGGGAACTATTTTTAATAAAAACGAATATCTGTACATACATACATACACATACACATGTTTTCACCATTATTTCTGCCTAGTCCTTGTCCTGTTTCTGTACTGCTAGACTTTGACAGGCTTTTATTTTGAAAGCGGTTTAGATCAGGCGCGTCTCTGCCTTCACGCATCTGTCAGCTCCCACAGCCATCTGCAGAGTTAGCCAGGTGCCGTTTAAACAATGTCTTCTGCTGAAGAAATTTCCAACTCCGTGGGGGAGAATTTGGAGGAGGACGGAGTAGAAGAGGAGAACACTGTAGAGGAGGCGGAGATGGAATATGAGGAGCCTGTTAAAGGAGGTTATATCTTCTACAGGTGAGTTTAGCAGCTAGCTTAGCATGATAACTGTGAATGAGTGTGTTGTGCGGCTAAACACTTCAGGAAGAGATGTTTAGTTATTCTCCGCAGCATTATGTGGGACATCAGCTTTTAATAACGTTTTAGATGTCATCTGGCTCGTACATACAAGCAGTGCACTTTAGTGTGCAAGCAGTTGTATTAGTTTTGTTTATGAGTGATTCACATGAAATGACTCAGGAGCGTATAGAAGATCTGAATTAAAAATGCCTTAAATCGTGAATACGTTTTAGTTAATAGTGTAATCATTTGTTAATATTCTAGCCTATAATCGCTACAGATGTGTTTTGATGTTAGCTCTCTGAGTGAATCACGGGAGCTGAATCAATACTTCAGAATGATTCATTTGAACTGGATCAAGAGAATTGAACAGGATGTAAACAATCTGTGTAATCCAGAGCAGAACTAAAGGAGTATTTTTCATCCCAAATTTAACACTAGACTAGATGTTTTCTTATGGCAGTATTCCTGGGCTAAAGGGGTCTTTTAAATCCTGATCAGGACTGTAAAAGTCTGTTTAATCCTGAGTTACCAGGTACAACCATACAGTAGGTGTTTTCTGAGGGTAAGTTTTCTTCATTGATTCATTGACTCATTCATTCAGAGTGGTTGAGTCACATAAAATGATTCCAGAAAATTAAGCCTAAAGAAATATATTCAAAGCTGTTATAGATGCTGTCACCCATTTTCTGGTTGATTCAAATGAACTGAGAATTAAGAGATTCATATGAACCTTTTTCTTTATTGATTCATTCTGTTGACTGGGTGGTTTAATGCTGACACGCTGTGATATATGCCATCTCGAGTGATATCACATTCTAGAGATGCATATGAACTAAATCACTTGTTTGAGCTCTAGAAATTTGGCTTTATTAATTTAAAAGAGGTTCATTTTATGAAGTCTTGGTGAAATGACTGAGCCATTTAACTAAACTGTCACTGTCATTTAATGTGCTTGTTTTTCTATTTTAGGGACAGAAAAGAGTGGGCCGATCTAGAACCCGTTCCTCAAGATGATGGACCAAACCCTGTCGTTAAAATAGCTTATTCAGAGAAATGTAAGTGTCTTTTGTTCAATCAATCAATCAGACCATTGATTTCTCATTTCTTTCATATCTCTCATATCACTTTTTCTCCTCACATGACATGATAGAATAATCTCAACTCATGTCCATTGCTCTGTTTTATGCTCATTTATTTTAAGTAATCATGCAATTAATGGGATAATGTACAGTCTGCCATAATTATCACAAAATAAACCATTTCAGTGCAATACAAGACCCAATCGTGCTGTCAGGGTTTGTTTTGCTTACTGTATATTATCAGTTGTTCATTTGTTGAACATGTTTGTCTTTTCATCCGCAGTCACAGACGTGTTTGACATGTTCAGAGCACTCCTGAAGAACGATGAGAAGAGTGAGAGAGCGTTTGCATTGACCGCTGAAGCCATCGACCTCAATGCTGCAAATTACACAGTATGGTGAGATAGATAGTGGATATTTAAACGAACATCTAAATGTGAATATCTTAGGTCCCAGAGCATTTTTAATGGCAAACCTAATGCAGCACTACGATTCAAAAGTTTGGGTTTCGTAAGAATTTTTATTTTATGTTTTATGCTTACCAAGGCTGCATTTATTTGATCAAAACTACAGTAAAACAGTGTTGTTGTGAAATATCATTGCTATTCAAAATATCTGTGTTCTATTTTAATAAAATTTAAAATTTAATTTTTTCCTGTGATGCAAAGCTTAATTTTCAGCATCATTACTCCAGTCTTCAGAAATCATTAGAATATGCAGATTTTCAGCTTATTTATTATTTTTTATCAATGTGATTCCTTTTTCTAGAATTCTTGGAAGAATAGAACATCGTTTATTTGAAATAGGAAACTTTTGTAACATTATAAATGTCTTTACTGTCACCTTTGATCAGCTTTAAAGCATCCTTGCTGAATAAACATTCATTTCTTTTCAAAACAAACATTTGAACGGTGATGTACATATCACATACACTAAGTCTGCAGTGGCTACAGATTTAAACATCAGCAAGCCTTCTGGTTGCTTTGGGTTGCAAAAAGCTACAAAGTCAGTGCAAGTCACTTGCATCATGTCTGTAGGCACTACAGGAGAGTTTTACTGCAGGCTCTAGATAAAGACCTGAGAGAAGAGATGAAGTATATCACAGCCATCATAGAGGATCAGCCTAAGAACTACCAAGTCTGGTAAGTCCACCTCAAAATTGTGAAGTTTGAGTAAAAGTAATTGAATAAATCAGTCAATAAAATCATTATTACCAATGTTTGATGTTTAGATTTTTTTTTCATTAGATTTTTTGTATGTCCAAAATCTCTCGTATTTTACTAGCACACTATAAAAATTGATTTTTTCAAAGTTGTAAATAAAACAAGATTATTGGATTATGTTTTGTCAAGTAAATATATTTCAGTCTTTCTGCTTTAAAATGTCACAGTTAATTCAGTGTGTTACTTGTAGTTTCTTTTTACTAGCAATTTCTGAGTGAAAGTTGTTTCAAAGCAGGTTTGTTATAGTTAACTAAAATTAAATCAGAAAGAGCTTTATTTGCCAAACACACAAGGAATAAAAATGAAAATTAATAAAACTTAGACAAAAAGACAAAAAAATGTATCTCATTGATACTAAAACAACCGTTTCAAAGCCATTTTTAGAGTACATTAGTAAATCAAGCCCTGTTGGTTATTAATATTATTATTAAACAATTTGTGCAAATATACAGGAATCACAGGCGGATGGTGGTGGAGTGGCTGAACGACCCGTCTGAAGAGCTGCAGTTTGTAGCAGAAATTCTTAGTCAAGATGCCAAGAACTACCATGCATGGCAGCACAGACAGTGGGTCATCCAGGTACAGATCCAGGTCCAGTGTGGTGTGTAACGGTTTGCTGATCTGCATGTGTGTTCATGGTTCGTCTCTGTGTGTCACAGGAGTATAAGCTGTGGAATGGAGAGCTGGAGTATGTGGAGGAATTGTTAGAGGAGGACGTGAGGAATAACTCCGCTTGGAATCAGAGACACTTTGTCATTAGTCACACCAGCGGATACTCCGACCCTGCCATCCTCGACAGAGAAGTGCAGTGAGTCTCATTCGTTACCAAATCATAGCTTTTTTGCTCAAAGATAAATTGTATAACTCCATGTGATCCTTTGTATTTTTGCAAAGCTGAAATACTTTGCAAAAATTCAAATGATCAAATTCTAACAAAAACAATTTGTTCTTGTTCTTTGTTTTTACTTGCATGTCATATTTCTCAGGATTTTAAAGTTATGCTTTATGCTTTTGAGAGTGATTATTCAATAACTGCATCCAAAAAATTCCAATAACAATCCAATAATCACACAGTTCAGATTTTGCTCATAATTCTGAATTGCGAGAGAAAAGTCTAAAAAAAAAAAAGTCTCAAAAAATTTTAGTAGCAACTAATTTATGGAAATGTCTAGTTCTATAGTGTCTAGTTCTATAATAGTGCATAGTTCTATAACATTAACAAAAATGTATTACCTATAAAATGATTAACGTATTCGAGTCAAAGCGCTGTGCATCTGTATCACCTAAAGCTGCTTATCTGAAGAGCACGCTAGTGTGGTTGCTTGTTGTGTGACATTACACGGAACATGTGAATGTTTATCTGGTTCCACCTGCTTTTAAAGAAACCGTTTTTGTAGAATTTATACATTAAGACTATTATTTGTTACTTGATAAGCAAATATGGCCAATTAAAACCCTTCAGTGCCTTTCTTTCCCTTTTTCTCTGTCTTTCTCTCTTTAGGTACACCCTGAAACAAATAAAGAAAGCTCCTCACAACGAGAGCGCTTGGAACTATTTAAAAGGGTGAGTGTTGCAAACAGATATAAACAGCCTGTGAAGTCATCCAGTCATCCAAATCAACCAGCAGATGGCAGATTCTCACCATTAACAGACGTAGATGTATTGCACAAAAACAGTTTTAACCGAAGAGCCATAATGAATGTTTATGATCATGGATCATTAACAGGGTTTGCCAAGGCAAGCATCACTATTATTGTTGCTACTTGGAAATAAATATAAATATGTGTAGTA